GGGTGGTGGTGGTGGTGATGGTGGTCCAGAGAACCAGCAGCCCCTCCCGTAGCAGCTCCTCCAAAGCTCAACCTTGAACGCCAGCGCCTTCTGCCTGCAGCGGGGCCTGAAAAACACCCACTTCTCACCTCTGCCGAGCCTTTCATGGCTCCATCTCTGTCTGGTCTCCAGTTGTTTACTTGTAATTAGATTCTCCTGTGTTTATAATTCCCAGCATGGAGGATGAAACTTTTATCTTAAAATGTTATTTATTTACTCATTTACGTTAAAAAAGAGCAAATAAGGTTGCATCTGTAGCTTCTTAGAAAATGATTATAAGTAAATAAAAATTGAGAACTGATCCTTAAAGTCATAAGTTTATATTTAGGAACAAAAGGATTATGTGCCATCGATAAATCAAAACAGGAACTATTCAGAGTAAGGAAATCGTATCTGAGGGACTTTGGATTAAAGATGACAAGTACCAGGTGAGCGAGGGGATCCTGATGGGACCAAGAGGATGCGAACACTGGGCCACGTGCCCAGAGAGATGCCACCTGTGAGATGACTCCAGAGATACAGGGAGTCTAACAATTTACACGTGAGATTTGCTTTCTGTTGCCTACATATAATATCTACACTTAGAGGTAAATTCAAATTTTTGAGGATGAAGTAAGAAAAAATATTTTTAAAATAAATGTCAAGGCTTAGATGAATTCTATGAGCCAGTGAACACAATAATATACAGAATAAAGAAAGATTTTGAAGAAACACAAGAAACTATAATTACCAACAAATTTGTTCTTTTCTGTTCTACATGCTTTACTCTCTGGTTCACATTTTCATAAGTTCCTTACCTGGACTGGCTGTTCACCTTTTCGTGTTTTCCATTGAAGTTCAAACTACAGAGGTTTTTCGATTTTGAATGTGCAGAGTCTGAGTCCACATTTGCCTGTGTTTGTTCTCGCAGACGATCAAGAAGTGTTGCCTCCTTTTTCAAGTTCATGTCCGAATACGGGCAGCCAAAGGCACTGGTTTGTATAAAAATGAGAGCACAGGCGTCAGTTTAGGGTGATACATCAGAGCTGTACCGTCATTGGAACAGACGTACATCCAATATTGAAAAGCTGAATAGAGACATTTTCCTTTCACTGAACACACTCAGGTTAAGTTTCTTTTCTTACTGCCCTTTGAGAAGATCTCAGGTGCCAGACCATAGGCACTGGTCAGCAGACATTACAGGTACAGTCATCAGCAATATGTTTTTCACAATCTAAAAAACTTAAAAACCTCAGGGACTTCCCTGGTGGTCCAGTGGTTAGGACTCCGTGCTTCCAATGCAGAGGGCTCAGGTTCGACCCCTGGTTGGGGAACTAAGATTCCATATGCCTTTATGCTTTTTCCAAAAGAAAAAACCAAAAAACTTAAAAATCTAAGAATAACCTAAAGGTGTACATCCAATGGAGCAACGAAAATGTCATGTAAACACTTAACTCAGTTTGTATCCTCCAATATTCAAGCCCTAATTTGACTACCTGTATCACAAAATACTGTGGGGTAACTAAATATCTTTACCAGTATCAGAGAGTACCACGCTTTTACTTCTTATCATTCATGTATCCAGAAATACTGTATCTGGATGACTGCTTCATCCTCCTGAAACCAGCTAGGAAGTTCTGTGTTTGAACGTGAAGGGCCAGTTGTGGGTGAAAAAGGAGAGACCACAGTCAAGGCTGAATCCTGACTCCAGGATGTGTTAGGAGGCTGACAGCAGGCTCAGGGCAGAGGCTCTGGCCCCTGCCACAGGTGATCGGTTGTCTCTGGTAGATTTCTGTGCCCACGTTCCTGTCCCCAGAGGCCCCCAATCTCTGTGCTGCCGGGAATGAGGCAGATGCTGTCAGGGGCCGACCAGGCAAGACGGTGCCCCGCCCACAACCCTGAGGGAGCTGGTCCACTGAGCTCCAGTTCCCCTCCAGTGAAATGGGAAATTCAGATCCAGCTCCTATGGGCCGTTGTGACCACGAGGAATCACGCGCGCGCGCGCGCACACACACACACACACACACACACACACACACACACACACACACACAGAGTAGTGGTAGCTGCTCTCATTACGACAGTGCTGTCATCCTTTACATTTGGGGAGCACAGACTCAGATGCATCAGTATCTTGGCAGTTGGCTATTTTTTTAGGAACTCACTTCCTGCTTACTATAAATTTGCTGGGATACGGTGCATAATAAATCCTTTCTGACTTGTGAAAGTTTGCTTTTGCTATTTTAAAGTCATGATAAAATCAGGGAGCAATGCAGTTTTCCCATTTTACAGTAGATTTGAGTTTTCCAGGGAGCACTTATACACAGTCTAACCTCAGAGGACTTTACTACCAACCTGTATCTAGAACGGGCCTTCTGGACTTTGGGATGGGGTGCTTCTCATAACACCAGCCTTGCCCAACATGCCAGGGTGGACCTGTACTTTGCCAGACAGGGGCGCCCCTGTGGCTGCATGTTCTGTAGTCAATATTAATTGGCACTACTTTTTAGTTTATTCTGTTATTGATTCAACAACCCACTAACTGAGCATGTGCTACATGCTAAGCACTTTGGAGAATATAAATCTAGTGAAGAAGCTGGGATATGTACCAATAAATACAATTTATAATAAGAACAAAAGCTACCCCTATTGAGTGTTTACATGGACCTATTGCAATACAAGGTGTTTTACATATATTATCTCTAGTGTTTTACATATATTATCTCTAATATTTAGTACTAAATACCCAAAGATGGTATTGACATATTTTTTTCTAGGCTAGAAAACAGGCTCACACAGGATAAGCCATTTCCCAAAGTTACCTGGCACCTTCTTGGGAAACCCCAAAATGAATCACTTAATTATTAGCATCAATCACGTGGGCAGAAGTGGGAAAACATTTTTAGCACCATCAAAAAAAAAGGAATGTAATTTTTGTGCAAAGTGTAGCCAAGGCAAGCATTCACAGGGAAAGCAGTACAGGGTTTGCCACGGTTAATGTCTAGGGGAAAATAAGTCAGCCCATGCTGGGTCCTGGGTGAGAAGTGCAGAGGTGATAAAGCAGTTTCCAGCAGGACCAATTGGTTTAGGCTGCAGCATATGAGATTTAAGGGAGATTTTCAGAAAGAACTTTCCGCAGATGAAAATTGAAAGGCATTAGGCTACCCTAAGGGAGATGGGGAAATGTTTATTTTAAGCACAGCTGAGTTTTCATGAAGACACCATCACTCAGAAGCTTTGCTATCCATCTAATACATACTCCCAATTTGAGATTTTTTAATGATCATTATGGTCATGAATTTTCTAAAGTCCATGTAATTACCCCACATGACTAGTGCTGCGTGACACTCATGCTCTCTTCCTCAGGCTTATCTATCCAGGACTGTAGAAACTCCCATTCATCCTCTTGTTCAGTACTTGCTTAAGTTGAGAGAAATTTTGTTTCCCTCAATCTCCATTCATTAATCAATCTTTTTACTCATTTAAACATTCATTTATTTCCTAATCCCATTCTAGCTCTTCTTTGTCTCTCAGGTTCTCAGGCATGCAAAACTAAATGCAATGCCTCGGAGCATCAGTAGAATGGAATATTTCTCGATCGTGGGAGGCGACGCATATGAGAAAGTATCTCAGGATTATACAGACCAGAAAAAAGCATGAAGTTCAAAAGAATATACTGGGTTGGCTAAAAAGTTCGTTCCAGTTTTTCTGTAACATCCAAAACGAACTTTTTGGCCCACCCCACATTAAATGACAAAAACATATTTTGCAGAAGATGCTGGTGGAGAACCTGACAGAAGATAATGATGGGAGACAAAGGAAGGTATGAAAGGAACAGGATGAGGGGGCTTTCCGTTGCATTGTCTGCACCATTTTCAACCTGGGCTCTGCTGTGAACAAGCTTCTGGATTGCAACACTGTGCTTACTTGCGTTCAATGCAGAGAAATATTTATATTAAAGAGATGACATCCCAAATTTCAGCCTGCCCTCCTGCACATGTAGACCCTTACTCATGCGCGTGCGCGCACGTGTGTGTGTATGTGCGTGTTTGGAAGAACATACATGACTGCATAAATCTGTACACATAGGAAAATTCTGACTGAAGTGGTTGTCCTAGGTGTGATACAGCTACTTAACGCTTACTTTTGATTTAGCCAAATACTGGGGGGAAAGGTTCTGAAGGCACAGTCTTTTTAGAAAATTGCTGACATAAGCTGAAATTTCTGTGACTTAAGGCTCTGTTGGTCAAGGTAAAATGATAGCTTCTGACGGACAGGTAAGTGGCATATTCAAATTTAGCTCATAACGGACCAAGATAAGAAGGCATGAAAACTGCAGGCCAGGAGGGAAGGCCTGAGAGGGCGTCCTGGGGGAGGCGGGGTTCTTCTGATACAGCAGACCAGCTCCCCATCCCTCCTTAATTCAACATGTGTTTGCTGTCGGCAGGAAAAGAAGGAAGAGAGAGCAGGAACTATGTAGTTTTTAAAAGTCAGAGACAGTAGGATATTGGGAATTTTATACAGTTCAACCAAATAATTTATAAAATATGTCAGGCCCAAGTTCATCAGCAAGACAGATGAATAGAGGGTGAATGCTAAATAAGCAAAATACTGCTAGGCAGCTGCAGACAAACTTTAAGAGATTTTTGGAGAGAGCTAAAAACTGAGATCCTAGTAGCCCTCTTGATAAATAGAAGGAAACATAAAAATGGCTGCCATTAAAAATACTAGTTTTGCTTTTCAGAATATTTAAGTAGAATTTTTAACATCTGAGGAGAAAGAGAAAAATAAATCTGTATCAGTATATATTTTTTTCCTTAAAAACTGTTGTGCACTCCTCTCAGGAGCAGCGTCCTTGGGGGCTCCCCTGCTGGTTGTAATGGGGCAGGGGGCGGGGAGGGGGCGCTGGAGTGGCCGGCACTGAATCAAGGCAGGTGGTGTCACGCCCGGGAGGGTCCTCAGCCTCTCAATTCTCCTTCCTTCCACAGCAGGGGCACCTGATTCCACAGGTCGGTGCAGTTTCCTCGTATTCTCAGGACCGGTCCTGATCCGAGGGACAGAGGCCCTACGTTCCTACTTGGTTCTTGCCGGGCCATCTCCCATTAGGAGGCCCTCTGCCTCCTAATCCCAACCTAGGCAGCCAGGCCCCCCGCTTCCCCAATACCAGCTGGCCAGTCGTCTATGTGCTTCTCCCCCTGAATTATTCTCTCCTACTGTGCTTTACCCACTGGCTGGGATCCCACCTTTATTTTGGATTCTTCTCGTGCAGCTCCAATTCCAAGAGTCTAGATAGATAGCACCTGCTGATTTCCAAACCCCTTGGACTCCAGGTTCTGCACATCCAACCATATGACCATCTTGTATCTACAATGTTTTCATCTTCTCATACCCAAGCAGCAAGTGTGGTTCCTGCTTGTTTCTGACTACCTTGTTTTGCTGAAAATAATGGGCCACGATCTGTCAAATCCTGGGAGATGGACAGTCTGGACCATGAGGTTATAACTAAGCTGTCACCACACACCTAATTGGTAGCTTCCCAACCCCTGTGCGGCTACACCCTCAGGGTGGCCAGAGGGGCCTCAGGCACCAGAGTCCTTCCAGCCAGAGCGGCCTCCTCCAGACTCTGAATTCCCTCCCTTCCCAAGTACTGATTAGCGTTTTCTCTCTGTGACATGACATTATAAGGGTAGGGAGGCATTACAAATTTAAGCAAAATGGCAAAGATGAAAGAGCCCCTTGGGTGCTGTACTTCCAAACATAAATAAAAACACAGAGGTCAACAATATTTCAGGAAGAGTGTCAGGCCGTTGACAACATTTTTGCTGATCCAAAAAAGTGAAGTCATCCCAAAAAGGCAAGTAGCTCCCAGGAGGAGCCCTGATCTAGGAATATGCCCTCACGTAGCCCAGGAATTAGGGATGTAGTTAAACTGTAAAGAGTTCTCTAATGCAACTAAGCCACCCCTCCAGGAAGCCCACTGCCTTTTGTATTT